GCGAGCCGGGAGGCGGCGGCGGCGGCGGCGAGGCGGCCGCCCTGGGCCTCAAACTGGCCACGCTCAGCCTGCTGCTGTGCGTGAGCCTGGCGGGCAACGTGCTGTTCGCGCTGCTGATCGTGCGGGAGCGCAGCCTGCACCGCGCCCCGTACTACCTGCTGCTTGACCTGTGCCTGGCTGACGGGCTGCGCGCACTCGCCTGCCTCCCGGCCGTCATGCTGGCCGCGCGGAGGGCCGCGGCCGCCGCAGGGGCGCCGCCGGGCGCGCTCGGCTGCAAGCTGCTCGCCTTCCTGGCCGCGCTCTTCTGCTTCCACGCCGCCTTCCTGCTGCTCGGCGTGGGCGTCACCCGCTACCTGGCCATCGCTCACCACCGCTTCTACGCCGAGCGCCTGGCCGGCTGGCCGTGCGCCGCCATGCTGGTGTGCGCCGCCTGGGCTCTGGCGCTGGCCGCGGCCTTCCCGCCCGTGCTGGACGGCGGCGGCGGCGACGACGAGGACGCGCCCTGCGCCCTGGAGCAGCGGCCCGACGGCGCCCCGGGCGCGCTCGGCTTCCTGCTGCTGCTGGCCGTGGTGGTGGGCGCCACGCACCTCGTCTACCTCCGCTTGCTCTTCTTCATCCACGACCGCCGCAAGATGCGGCCCGCGCGCCTCGTGCCCGCCGTCAGCCACGATTGGACCTTCCACGGCCCCGGCGCCACCGGCCAGGCGGCCGCCAACTGGACGGCGGGCTTCGGCCGCGGCCCCACGCCGCCCGCGCTCGTGGGCATCCGGCCAGCGGGGCCGGGCCGCGGCGCGCGCCGTCTCCTTGTGCTGGAAGAGTTCAAGACGGAGAAAAGGCTGTGCAAGATGTTCTATGCCGTCACGCTGCTCTTCCTGCTTCTCTGGGGGCCCTACGTCGTGGCCAGTTACCTGCGGGTCTTGGTGCGGCCCGGCGCCGTCTCCCAGGCCTACCTGACGGCCTCCGTGTGGCTGACCTTTGCTCAGGCCGGCATCAATCCCGTCGTGTGCTTCCTCTTCAATAGGGAGCTGAGGGACTGCTTCAGGGCCCAGTTTCCCTGCTGCCAGAGCCCTCGGACCACCCAGGCCACCCACCCCTGCGACTTGAAAGGCATCGGTCTATGAGCGACTCCCTCGCTTCCCACCGCCCCCTGCCCCACACCCAGCCTTTCCCTTGGCTTGGACAGTGACGTCGTTTCTTTCCCTTCTGTCCCCTTTTACGTTTTCTAAGCTGCCTTCAAAATGACTCTGGACGTGGACAAACCCTTGGATTGTAGAGACTCCTTTGGGGCTACGGGTGGGGAGCGGAGTAGGGGGTGCAGCCACTCCTGCTCCGCACGTTCGTCCTCCTAAACATTCTTTCTTCCTGACAATAGGCCCTGCTGTCTTTGTATTGGTACTGACGTCTTTTATTCCATGTGTGATTACTTTTTTCTTTTTCTATAAAGGTTAAACTAATTTTCTTCATGCAGCGTTTCCTAAAGACCATGGCCAGTTTTCTACAGAAGCTATTTTTGACAACCTCAAGTGGCATTACATTTTGCAGTGAAGTAGAGGAACCTAGGGGACTTCACACGTTAGATTTCTTGAGGGTCTTCTGTTGGAAGCAGGGGAAGGAGGGGTGGGGACAGGAGTTGTCTTCAATTCCCTCTGGATTGCAGGCTACAAGGTCAGCTGTGCTGCGCTGGTTCTTTGGAAGTGTGTTGAGAACTTCGTTCAGTGTTGATTACTGAACTTTAAAGAGCAGAAATGGAAGTCAGTATCGAGGCAGTCACTTTTTAAGCAGTAAGTAACACGTACAGTTTGGTTCCTAGTTTATACTACTAAAAAATACACAGTGACAACTGCTCTCTGTATTATACCAATCTTGAATGGAAACATTTCTGTAAAGTTGTAACCTTTAAAAGAGTAAAAAGTGTTTTGGTCAGTAATGGTGTGGAGAAAATACAGTATTGCATGTGTTTGTATGTACTGATTGTGGTTGGAGGACTGGGAGGTCTCTGAGAAGCAGAGAACTATCAAAATTGTTTAGGTACTTTTTGCCAATTAAAATAATTTTATGGAAACGGCTTGTGCTTTGAGAAGCCCAGTTTTATTCTGTCTTATGAAACTTTATTTCCACTTTGAAAATTGTTCTGTTGTTCGGGCTATTAATGAATGGAATACAATTACACCCTACTTCTAGGAGACAAAGCATTTCCTTAAAATGTTTGCTAAGATAAACTGTGCTGTTCTACTGATGGTTGTTTTAAATTAATAATGAGAACTCTAAATAATATTTCTTTGTTAGACATTGTAATCCTAAACTGAAAGACTAAATTCTGCAAGTACTATATGATATTTTTTGCTTACAATGCTACATTTTTATTAATGTACCTTCCGTTTTGAGGATTTATATCTGTATTTCTCTTTGCATTATACAAATATACCAGTATTTTCATTCTGGAGTGGGTGTGCTATTGTTGTTTGAGGCTGCCACTGATACCAATGCATGTCTGAGTATGTAACTCATGTTCTTTTCATCTTTTAGTGGGTGTTATTTAGTTTCAGGTTTTGTAGTTTGACCATCATTATATCTAAGACATTTAGAGGATTTTTTTCAAATCTAAAATACAAAACTTCTCTTTAAAGAGAAGAAGCAATAGACCACTCTAAAATTGTTTTTTATTTGTATGACAGAGTTGCAGTTCTATATGTTAAATGGCATAAACTTTCTAAAACATATAAAACACAAGTATAAGCAAAGTAACAATTTGATAAAAATAAGTAAAAGATGGGTGCAATAACTGCTGGATTTATTTAAGTATAATACAAACCCAGGTGTCTAACCTTTTTTTTTTTCTGCCACACATGGGAAGAATGAGAATAGTTTTGGCCATACATTAAATACATAAACACTAATAACAGTTGATTGCCAAAAAAAAAGGTTTGTGAATGCTTTTCCTGTTAAATATTTGAAGCAATAGAAAATAGATATCCGGCTCGGCGCTTGTGGCTCAAGCGGCTAAGGCGCCAGCCACATACACCTAAAGTGGCGGGTTCGAATCCCCAGCCCGGGCCCGCCAAACAACAATGATGGCTGCAACCAAAAAATGGCCGGGCGCTGTGGTGGGCACCTGTAGTCCCAGCTACTTGGGAGGCTGAGGCAGGAGACTCGCTTGAGCCCAGGAGTTGGAGGTTGCTGTGAGCGTGATGCCATGGCACTCTACCCAGGGGGATAGCTTGAGGCTCCATCTCAAAAAAAAAAAAAAAAAAAAGAAAAAGAAAATAGATATCCAACATCATAGAACCCAAAAAAAAAAGTCCTTACAAAATCAGCTGATGGTCATGGCTGATGGTCATGGGTTGGACACCCCTGAGTTATAAACTATTAAATGTTCGGTCCAAGAGGGCTAAGTAATAATAAGAGGGTATAATCAACTTATCTCTGGTAAGTGGGAAGCATTATTTTGTTTGTGAAAGTTAATCAGTCACATGTTTGGAAAGTATGACTAACAATCACCCAATTCCTTCTCATGTCTTACATCCAAGTAGACCTCAATATTCCATGGACTAATCATCAGAAACCTCAGCCAATCCAAAGACACAGAGGCCCGCGAAGTAAATATCTAACGCTCCAAAAGAACCAAGTTCAAAACATAGAAATTACCAAGTCCATGTCCTGTTAAGAATTGTGCACCTAGCATGGCTCTAGAACTTGCCCATTATGGTCAACTCCTGAGCCACTTCAGCCTTAGACAGAGATCACCTGTTGGCCCTACATAGCCTTGAATTCAAGAATGTTTTTCATAGGAGAAATGATAAGCCAGAAGTTCTTTAATTCAAACATTCATAAAAATTACCTTAAATGCTTGTGTGGCCCAGAGTCTTACTACGATGTGTTGAATGAGACCTGGGAAAGAGCATTTTTAAGACGCTCTCAGATGATGGGAGACATAGCTGCAGCCTTGGTTTGGACGTGCTTTACTTTGGATGCAAGGAGTACAAACTCCTGGATGTTTTATATTTATGTCTTCAAATTCTGATTAGATAGAAGGAGGCAAGATTTCTAGTGAGCGTCCAGGTGAGAGTGGCAAGAAATAACAGCCAACCACAAAGGAAAAAGAGATACAAGCTGGCTGGGAGAAAGTAGCGTGTAGTAGCAAAAAACCTCTTCAAGCTCAACAGATCCATGACTCCATTAACATGTACTTTGTTAATTAATCAAACACCATCAAGAAAAGATTAGTTGTGTCCGTCCAAATTGCTCGTTGTACCAGGACAGGTACAGTATATTTGGGGAAAGTCCATTAACATCATTCATTTTGTTTATTTGGGAAATTAATTTAGCACCACTAAATGAACTGTTAAATATTTGAAGCAATAGAAAATAGATTTTTTATACATGCTTCTTGGCATGTTCTGGCATCAAATTGTTAGGCTTTTAAAACCAAGCATTTTTAGGCCTTTTGGAGGGTTAAATAACTTTGCAGAAAGATCACATACACATTTAAATTTATACCTGATGTGTTCATTATTTTAAAAATGTAATATTTCATGCAAAGTGGGAAACCATATAACAAATCGATAATAGTAATGATAAATAATCAATTTCCACTATTCAACCCTGCCAAATCTTGCCAGTTTTGCCATATTGGTTTCTACTTTTCTTCTATTTCCTTTTTCTTTCTATTTTTCCTTCTTTTCTCCCTCCCTCCCTTCCTCCCTCCTTTTGTTTCTCCTTCCCCCTTCCCTTCTTCCCTCCCTCCCTCCCTTTCTCCCTTCCTCCCTCCTCTTTCTCTCCCTCCTTTCCTTTTCTTTCTCTCTCTTCTTTTTTTAAAGAAGTAAAACATGACCCAAATATTTCTGCCAAGTCTCTGGTCTCACCAGCAGCCCTCTACATTCTTGAATGCCCCGCCCTCCTAAGAGGTGATGGGGTCCCAGGTCCTAGGACCGACACATATTTAATTCTGCAGGTAGATGATTGGGTTGGTGGGATGGGGGGTCCACCCTGTTTTCCCATGCACTAACAGGATTTGTCTGCCATAGAAAACCTCTCACTGTCTGGTCTCTTCACTACCCTGAGCGCATCCTCCCCTGTATTCTCACCTCTCTCATCTCAGATTACCTTCACTCCAGCTCTCCATGCTTCCTAGAAAGCACAATCCACTATTTCTTCCTGGAAAGTCTTCACCAACCCCTTTGGAGCTGGGGTAATAGTCCCAATACAGTAAAGCCTCTATCATTGGCCACTGCCCTACACTGACTATCTCAAGTCGACCTAATTTGCATAGACTGGGCATGCACCACATGCTGGAATCAGAGTAGTAGACCTTGTTCCTCAGGCTGAACACCTCGGTATGTTGGCCAGTTTATTACAGTCCACTGGGTGGTCAACTTAAAGAGGTTCTACTGTACTGAACTACTGGGATGGCATGGGCACAACTTACCTATACAACTGCCTCCTGGGGTTCTGGCTGAACGTCAAGTCCTTGCTGGACCTGGCTTTTTACAAGCCATTCTTGATCCAGTCATGCCTCCTTTTGGGCCCCAGGTATGTTGTTTACCTTGATGAAGTCTGTACTTGGACACCTGGTCCACATGGCTGGTTCCTGGCTCCCTCTGCAACCTTATATCTTCCCACTCCTTCGGCCTTGTGCTTTAGTAACTCTGAGTCACTGGCAGTGCCCTGAATAGACCATACCATGTCATACTCTCATGGCTTTGTGCTGTTCCTTATGTCCAGCACCCTTGTTCCCCCTTTCCTCCCCTTCCCCAAGTTCCTGTACCTGCTAAGCTTCTGGACATAGTGAACTTGACATAGAGGGTGAACTCTTAGCCTCTACAATGAGTGGGGTGGTGTATCGTCCCAGGGCAGTGAACTCCTAGCTGCTACAGTGAAGGGGAAATTGTCCCAGTGTAGGACCTATAAGATTTTCAAGGCTCCAAACTTAATTAGATCCGAGTGCCACAGCTGGCTAGACAGCAGACTTATTGTTTTACCAGCATTTTAAGTTGTCAGTGCACACTGAGGTAGTCGGGATTATAAATGCAGCTGATCCAAAATACTGTTTTCTAGTCACCTGACAAGTGTCTCACTCTGTGTGGGCTGCCAAGACTACTGAGCTTCAGTATCCTCCCCCAGC